ATCCCGAACAGGATGAAACGTAGTGTTCGGAACCAGAATCCACCTGGGTTTGCATTCACAACCACGAATCCCGATCAGAACAAAATGCATTGAAAAAATAAAGTCCACAGGATCGCATTCATAACCAGGAATCCCAATCTACCCGAACGCGAAAAAATAACATCCGGGAAAATAACTATACGGGGAAAAATAACATGCGCGAACAGGCTGGAGGATTTAGGAAAAAATAACATCCCGAACAGGTATCCCGAACAAGGAGGTACCTGGTGGTGACAAAACATGCTGAACGGATATCAAAAGGAACAAGGAAAATACGGGGTACAGGAGCCAAGGTGAATGGAAGAAATGACCAAGTCATAAATGTTGGACTTACGCTAGAAAGAGATACAGGCCGAACGAGCGGAAAGAAGCGCAGAAATGGCTAAGTCCTAAATGTTGGACTCATGAATACAATCTCAAACAACCGCCCGATCGCTATGACAAAACATGATAGGAATGGAGGTCAATAAATCAGCTAAGTCCAAAAGCAGAGCAACACATAAATAAATTATGGAGGCAAGTTGATGGACAAAAAGTTTTGTATTCATCGGTTCTACTGACCGGAAATTACAAGAAATATGTATAATGCAGGAAATAGAAATACAAAGGAAATAACTAGTCTACTGTTCGGAGTTTTCCTCACCCTCATCATCATCATCATCATCATCATCATCATCATCATCCTCTTCATCGACAGCCTGGACAATACCCATCCCCAGGGCCCGCCTGCATTTGTTGATCTGAGCAATCAAGGCGTTCAGATGATTGGGGTTCAGATCGGAGAAGTCAGATGGTTGCACCGGTCGGCCCAATTGCCTTTCCAAAAGGGGAAGGAGCGGATGGAGCATGTGCTGGCATCCTGAGCCGTAGACCCCCCGGGCAAATGCTTCTGCCCATTCTTTGGTCACCGGATGCTGGTCAAGGACCCTCACCCCCTCCTTCAGGCGCTCTTCACCAGTCAGCTTAGCCAGGTGCTCCCCGAGGACGGTGGGGAGTTGCTCAAAAGCATATGCCCGGAACTCTGATGAAGTCTTGAAATTTTCCCGAACGGTTGAGAGGTCAACAGTCACTTCAGGAGGACCGTCCGGGATCTGGGAAGCAGGCTCTGAGAATTTCACCTGGGCGGATTCGGCCGCCGCCAGGTACGCCTGGAGAGAAGCTACCCTCACACGGAGCTCCCCGAGCTCGCTCTCCAGCTTCTTCCGAGCCTCGACAGCTGCCTGCCGATCAGTCTCAGCGGCCGGAACGGCCGAGGAAAGGGAGTGTTCGGCTTCCTCCTTCGCCACTATCAACCCTCGCTCTTTGGCCAGCCGGGCCTCACGAATTTTGAGGCTGTATAACCCCACCTGCATACAGTTAACCAGAGTTAACAGGGTGAACGCGCAATCAGGAAAGGAAACATGGAAAAGGAATCAGGATGGGGAATTACCTTGAGAGCGGCCAAGGCTAGGCATTCCTCGGCATCCTCGACCGGGAGCGGGGGGGAGCACGAAGTCGTTGAGATCGACAGATGTGGACCAAATCCGGCTCGCCGGACAGCCGCCCCGCTCTAGCATATCATGGGCGGGGTCCTGGAGGGAGATCCTCTGGAAATGCCTGGCCAGATCCGACTGATGGGCGGCCACATCCTCGGCTGAAAATTGGTGGGATTGTTGATCAGAGAAGAGCTGATCCATCAGCATATCAGCATGGGAAGGTTGCTGATCGGGAGCAACCTGCTGAATGGGCTGAGCCTCCTGAGCGGGCTCGGGCTGTTCAGGAGATGGAGCAGCTTGAATGCCTTCCCGATCGAATTTTGAGCTGAAATTTGGTATGGACAAACTAGACTTGATGAGGAACATGCTCAAAAAATTTCATAAAAAAATTACGGGAAGGTCGCCAAAAAGGCTCGGCCTGAAGGCTCTCCCGGTCAGGCCGGCCTAACATATTGATTTCTCTGAAACTACATACAAATTTGAACTATATATGCCCTAGAATGTTTCGGGATAGGTGTATTACCGCACTACTATTACGTACCTACTCACATATCTGCCCGCTTCTTTCCAAATGCCCTCCCATTTACATGGCTTCCGCCACTGTCTTGCGCCTCCATCTGTATTGGCGATGGCTTGGTTTCAATGTTATGGTTCAGCTAGAGTACAACCGGCCGAATGCTTTGTGCCACGATTTCTCTGTATAATTACACTTTTAAAGGTACTTTTTAAATATCTATTCAATTTTTGTTGTCTGTTCTAGCTCCGTGCGGCAATCATGCCAGTCATTTGGGTGCTTTGGTTGGTTTTCTTTTTTCTTGGACACTTTAATTTCAAAGTAATTTAATGGGAAAATCGCACATTTAGTCCCTGAAATAGTCATGAGAATGAAATGTGGGACCTGTATTTCTGATATTGTAAATGTCACTCCTCAATTGTCCAAATTGTTTTAAATGTGATCCTTTAAGGGGTGAAATGTACTCTTGCCCACAATATATATTTCACTCCTCAAAGGACCACATTTACCGCATTTAGGACAATTGAGGGACGACATTTACAAACTTGGGAATACAGGTACGGCATTTCATTTCCGTGATTATTTCAGGGACTAAAAGTGCGATTTTCCCTAATTTAATACTTCAGTTTTGTTAGAGTTCATTTATATTTTCAGAAAGGCGTCGTCCACTGTCCACTATTAGAAAGGGAGGATTATAAAGGAACAGGGCAGGAAATTTTTTTACTATCAATTTTTAGAAAAACTTGTAAAATAGATAATGGTTTGATCGATTTAGATAGGAAACTTAGTATAACAGTATAGTACTACTTATAAAATTAACAATATCATTGGTATTACTCCGTATTTACGTTGGATAATATCATGGTTTGTTTTTTTATTTATTACTTCATCATCTTTATACTACCTATAAAATTCACAATATAATTGGTATTATTTCAAAGCATGTTTGCCGGTTGGTCATCAACTTTGAGGTTACAAACTCTACAGTTCAGATTTGAGCGAGATCATAAGTTCCTATTTGATAATTTCAAGTATTACTTTGAATATATTTAAATTATGTTTTAGGCATAACTAGTTTGATATTTAACATTGTTTGTTAGTAATTTGTACTTGTTCTAGTTGAATCAGCAAATTCAGCCAATTTTAGTATAACCAAACAGACTCTAAATTTTGCTACATTTTCTGTAAAAAACATTCAATTATTTTTATTTTTTCTACTTTTTATTTTCTTTTTCACTTTTTCCACAACTTTTTGAACACAATTCATTACATCTAATATTTCCTCCTTAAATATTGTGCGACAATCCTAATGTAGTTTTCCTTAAAATAAGAAGTGAGTATATTACAAATCCTAGAGCTTTCTTCACAAGGAACTTAAATACTCCTTCCGTCCCTTATAACTTTGCCAACTTTGGATGTCCCATTAACTTTGCCACTATCTCATTTAAGTAAAGAATTTGTGGTTCCAGTTAATTTTCTTTCATCTGCACAAACCTCAACCACACAGTTTTTACTTTATTAATCCTCGTGCCGGTCAAACTTGACAAAGTTGTTGGGAACAGAGGGAATAACTTTTATGATTTTTCTTTTAATTTCAATCACTAAGAAGCATTTAATTGCAATCACCCTACACTCTATTCGAAGAGAAACCGTTGTCTGGTGCTCTTTTTAATTGAAATTTTAAATGGTAGTGAGTCTTTTTATAGTGAGATTGTGGGTATCGTCTTAACATGGAGGTCCTTAGGCGAGAGTACAGTAGCTAAAAATTTTCTTGTGTACTCCGTATATGGATAGATTAGAGTCATTAGACTACAGCTATTATTCAACTTTACTGGTGTGCCTGATTAACTTTTGGAATAGACAGTGCATGAACAATGGTTCTACGTAGTAATTGGTCTGTCTCTATTTTCTTTCATATTTACATTTTTATTCATCCACTTCAACGTAAATGTGACTCTTTTGAGCGGGAGAATCACTTGGTGTTCCATTCCCTTTTGTATATAGTAGGATTTTGTATGAGATATTTACAAAAATGTTCAACGTAGCAATCATTGGGTGTTGGTTGCAATTGACATGGCAATGCAAACAGTGTATTACCTGGATTCTATAGGAGGATCTCCATCAGAAGATTTGGAAAGAATACTAAATCTGTTAAGTTAAACGTTATGTGGGTTTTTTGTGTATTCCAAGTTTAAAACATAATATCAGTTCCAACTTGCTGTATACACTTGAATAAATTGACTTAGCAAGCAAAAAGTTGCAATAGAAAAGTATCAATTTGTTGTATGCCCCATTAACCATGTAGAACCTTGATTAAGAAAGTGACTCTTTTGAGCCTTTTCATTCGATTTTGGATTTAAAACACATGTTCAATGACCTATTTGTAAGGGAAGTGAATCAGGGTTGGCTAATGGCTACATGTGCTAGATGCAATAGTTACTCCACCTGCTGCAAATTTCAATATTAGTATGTCGCCTTTGCACTTTGCAGTTGCATTGTTTTTATGGTTGATATGATCAACTGCCTTTACCCGTTTCGGAAATGATATTTCCTAGTCTAGCATCATTCTCTATTTTGCAAAGTGAGTCTCATGCATGAAACCTCTGTAAACTCGTGCATCCATTTCTCATAGTAGCAATCAGTGCCAGGTTAAAGTAAATAGCACATTCTGCAAAACTCGCATGCTGTCCTGATTGTTCAATTTAATCAGTTTACCTCTTTCCATCCTGTGGAATAACATGTGATCTCTATTAATCTAATCATACAACATTGCTTATTTTTTTTTTAAAGGATCTTAACCTTTAGTGTCTCTCTCTTTACTATGATTAAATTCATGTGCACTAATCAGCAGTAACATCTGTCTCTTTCACTAAAAGAGTAGATCCGTGAGTCAATAAGTTTTATCTATATTTTTCATTTTGCATCTTTTAATTTTAATTCATCTTGCATCTTTTAATATTATTTTGCATCTTTTAATATTATTTTTGTAATATATGGTCTAAGTTGGAATCTGTGATGATTTATAGATCAGCTTATTTGTATATTGTAATGAATGAATTGGATATATTGATTTCTGATAGGTTGCTACCTTGTATTTTCTTTGTAAGTGGTCAGAGGGCTACCTCATATTTTCTCTCTTTGTTTCTACTTTTTTTCCACTTTCTGAATTGTTTGTAGTTTGCTTTCTAATAGCTTCATTAATGGATGCAGTACTGTTAGGAAAAAATAATATTGAATCATATATTGAGCAAAGAGAACTTAATTTACTCTGCCACAAGGGACAACTTACAAAGTCATATATCTAATCTCCAATTCTCGAATGCAGGTCATATTAATTATATAGATATATATTTATATAATATACAAATATGGTTGTTTAACATCTCATAAACTAATGATTTGTTTTGATTTCGGAAGAATGGAATCTCAATCATCTCATTCTCTTACAAATCCATCTAATCACATAGAATCTGAAACACGGAAAGCTGCTAGTAGCAGAAAACGAGCAAGGAACAAATCAGCAACACTTAAGCCTCATGTTTCTCAAAGTCGAAGCAACTTTTGGAGTCATTGTCAAAAAGGGTCAAGGACCTTGCTGGATGGCACCGTTCAACCAATCGGGACTTGCAAGTATTGTCAGGCGCAGATCCCAGCGAGTCATGGAAGTACTAGCAAGTTGAAAAACCATTTAGAGAAGAGGTGCAAATCAAGTCCCTTGTACAAAGCAAGTGAAAGTGATAAAAGTCAGCCTGTATTGACAAATGAGACAATGGGACGGGTTTATGAATTGGTTTCTCATACTTTCAATAAAAAATGTGTGCATTGAAGGTTACTGAATATGTTATTATCGATGAAATGTCATTCCGAGCTGCTGAAGGGAAGGGCTTTGGAAGTCTTGTGCATGAATTGCAAACAAGATTCAGAATACCAGATCATAAGAAGTGGCAGATATGGTTTACGACTTATTTTTAGTTGAGAAAGTTAAAATAAAAAGTGTGATTAGTGGGCAAAGGGCAAGTATCACAACCGATACATGGACTTCCATTCAAGACATAAACTACATGGTTGTCACTGCCCACTTTTTGGACAATGATTGGAATTGCACAAAAGAATAATTAACTTCACGAAAATCACGCATCATATTGGGGAAGATATTGGTAAGGTGGTTGAGGTTTGTCTAAGAGAGTCGGGATAGAAAAAGTATTTTCGATAGTAGTTGACAATGCTTCTTCAAATGATATAGCAATTGACTACTTGAAAAAGAGAATGAAAATTGAAATTACATTGTTGTTTGAAGGAAACTATTTGCATCTAAGGGGTGGATGTCATATACTCAATTTGATTGTTAAGAATGGTCTCAAAGAAGTCAATGCTCTAATTGAATCTATACTCAATGTTCTCTTCATTCATTCTTCACCATCTAGGTTGCATAAATTTGGAGAGTTTGTCATACTAGCAAAGTTATACCAAAACAAGGTGAATGCAACTTATAAAATGCTTGGAGTTGCATTGAAATTTAGGAAAGTGTTCGAAAAGATGGTTGAAGAGTGGTTACCATTTATGAAGTACTTTCGTGAAAAAAACGAAAAGGGTAAAGTACGGGTAGGACCTCCAGGTCATGAAAATTGGGAGAATGCTAAAGCTTTTGTGCACTACTTAAAAAAGTTATATGATGTCACCTTAGAGTTAAGTGCATCAAAAACTCCCACCTCCCAGTAGCTTTATCATTCCATGATTGCACTACAAATTGAGATTGAAAAAAAGGAAAATGACAATTCTGACCCAATTCTCAAGGATGTGGATATTTCAATGTTGTTAAAGTTTAAAAAGTATTGGGGTGATTGGAATACTATGAATCCTTTAATTTTTATTAGCAATATTTTGGACCTAAGAAACAAGCTCCAGATGGTTAAAGTAAGTATAAGAAACTTCCAGATACTACTACAAAGGTCCAAGATTTTGTTAATAAAGTTAAAAGTGACTTAGTAACTCTGTGGCCAGAATACAAAGGCATAAATGATCCAGACCATTAATGTTGAGCGGCAAAGTATGCAATTAGAGTTGGATAGTGGAAATGGTACTAGTAGTGCGGGTGATGGTCTTTGAGATGAATTATTTAGTGACGTTGAAGCACAAAATGAAGAAGAGCAACTCCAAGAGATTTCTAATGAGGTAGATAAGTACCTAATTGATGAGATTGAGAAAAGATCTAATCAATCTTTTAATCTTTTAGAATGGTGGAAAGGAAGTGAAACTAGGTACCCGAATTTTAGAATGGTGCCCGAATTTTTCATTAATTGCAAAAGATATTTTTGCAATACCTAGTTCAACATTTGCAAGTGAGTTTGCTCTCAGTTTAAGCAAAAGGGTTGTCAATCCCTTTAGAAGCAGTTTAAGTCCTAAAATGGTTGAAGCTTTGGTTTGTACGAATGATTGGTTCAGAGCAGAGGATTTCAGCTTTTATAAGGATCCAACAGATGATGACCTTGACTTGTATAAAGAGATTGAAGAAATTGAAAAGAGTAAAGCTTTTTTATTGCATTAAGTTTAGATTTAAATGATAAATTTTAATAATAATCTAAATTATCTAATGCATCTTTATATTTCTTCTACAGATGCAAATGCGACTCATGAACGTTCTCAGACTTCCTCTCAGGCATAGACATGTTCCAATTTTCAGTTGGCAGAATAATTGCCATTGGGTAAAATCATTTGTGCATCCAGTAAATTACTAAATTATTATGTTTTGTTGTATAAGCATGTTCTTCCATTTCTGATATTGATTTTAAATGGTTTGAGTTTTTGCATATTGGATCTGCATTACTTCAATCCCAACCAGTTTATCAGTTGGTTTGAGATTATCTATTTTCAGGGCCGTCTTTTAGGAGGTGCAATAGGTGCTTCGCACCGGGGCCTACTCTTATAGAGGGCCTCCAAAAATTTAGAATGTACCTTCGTCCCACTATGTTTGGGACAAGAGAGTGTGACACAACATATGAGAAAAAATGGAATTGTGTGGTTAATATTGAATTGATAAACTATGAATAAAGTAAGAATGAATTGTAATCATCCAAATATTACCAAATATGGTATGTGACAAACTTAACGGGACCGACGAAAAGGGTAAAACGAGACAAACTTAGGAGGGCGGAGGGAGTAGTATTAGTTATAGATTAATTTTTCTAGATTTTTTATATTATTAAGGATTCCAATATACATACTCCTTCTGTCCCTTAAAACTTTGTCATCTTTCCTTTTTGGGACGTCCCAAAAAACTTTGCCACTTTCCCTTTTAATTAATATTTCGAAGTTCCTATTATTTCTATCTCCTCTGCACAAACCTCTACCACACAGTTTTTACTTGGCAAAGTTTTAAGGGACAGAGGTAGTATAACTTTTAGATTCTCTAATTTGTGGACTTTAAACATCATAAAACTTATACAAGTATTTCGTTGGAGTGTCTAGTCTATTTGTATTTCATTGTAAAAATTTGTGTTATTTTCTCGTCTTAGGTCCTTAGGGGGCCTCAATTTGCTATTTTGAACCGGGGCCTCCAAATTCATTAGACGGCCCTGTCTATTTTGTTTTACTAAATGGAAAAATATGATTGGAGCTGCAGAATAATATGGCCAGTAAGGGCTTGTGTGTTGAATCTGCAGATTATTTGGTTTCAGTTTTTTTGTATATGGTTGTTTGCCTGAGTTTATAGTTTAAACAGGATGTTAAATACTGCATTGTAGCTGCAGAGTAATATGGCGAGTAAGGGCTTGTGGTTGTTTGCCTGAGTTTATAGTTTAAACAGGATGTTCAAAACCAGAGTATTGAGGTTTTCATTCATTTTAAGTAGTCATTTCATAAATATCCCTTTATCCCCGTATAATTAGTTGCTCTATTCTATGTTGGTCTTCACATTAAACACGACTTGTGTGAGTTGTGTATCATTACGTGCCTGCTTTCTTTTATCTTGTGAAGCATGAACTTATGGAACAAATATACTTTGTTTGCTGCAAGTCTGTAACGGATCAATTTGCAACAAAAAAAGTAAATCTATGCTTTACTGAGAAAAGTTTCATTGATTCTAGGAAAAAAGGTCAAATAAGCATCATATAGATACACTTACTCTCTAAAAAAGATCAATTAACCCAATGTGACCTGGAATGACTTGTTGCAGCAGGTAAAGGTTTTTATTGAACTCCTTTCATACTCCGTACTCACTTATGTACGTAGGGTCGTAGATGGGATTTTTCTTTTATTTTTTTTTCTTTGTCTTTCATATACGTATAGTAGTGGAGTATCAATTTTCTTTCCTTTTTTTATCTTGAAAACGTACGTGTATTTTTTTTGTCTTGATTTCCCTTTTCTTTCCCTTTTCTTTTCATTTTCATTTTTTTCTTTTTTTTGTTCATTTTTTTTAGATTTCCATAAACGGACAAGTGTAACTTAAAAGAAAAAGGTAAAAAATAAATAAATTTGTAGGGAAGAAGTTAATGAATAGTAGTTTAGAAGTAAGAAATACGTAGTACGGAGTAATAAAGAAAAACGTGATTTATGAAAACATAAGAGGAATGGTATTTAATTATTTAAATCTTCTTTAATACAAGTATTTCATAGTGCTTTTGTGATATTGAAATATAGTCTCTTAGTTGTCGGTAAAAAGTAAAAAAAATTAGCCGGATAATCTAATTTTATACTCCGTAGATAACAAATGTCTACTACAGAAAAAATGATTCAGACAAGATAAAAATTGTATAATTTTTTTACACATTTCAAAAAGGTTAAGCAAAGCAAGGTTAAAGAAAAAACGTCGATAGAAAAAATCTAATTTTATAAACAATAGATGTTTGGTACAGACAAAAAAATTGAGACGAAGTTTTAAATTGTACTAGTACTCCTTCTATCCCATAGAAATATTCTCACTTTCCCTTTTTGGACGTTTCATATAAAGGTTCATATTTATTTCCATTTTAAAAAACAATTAACAATATTAAATGACAAATTAATCATTAAATATTAAAAATAATACATTTATAACATCACAGTTATAAATGTATTTATTTTCTTTATTTGACTTATTGTATGTTTTATTTTTTTAAATCCTTTTAGAATGATAAGGGAAAGCGTAGGACAGGAAGTTAGTTCCAATTTGGGAATTTTAATTTTAAGCTCTCAAAAATTAAAGAAACAATCCGTTTTCTCTTAGATTCAGTAAAGACAAGGGGAGGCGATTTTTGCATTTTAGTGGAAGACAAAAAATGAAAAGAAATACAAAAAATGAAAAGAGAAAATAATAGAGGAGGAAAACAAGAATGTTAGTCAGGAGTAGGCCTGGTCTCGGGCCGGGCGGCCCGCCCCAGAATCGGCCCGAACCGGTCACTATTTGAACCGGCCCAAACTGCCGGCCCGGCCAGGGACCGGTTCGGGTAGGCCCGACCCGCTTGGGTTCCGGGCTCGGGCCCCTCAAAAGGTGAACCGGCCCGGCCGGTTCGGGCCCGGTTCGGGCCAATTTATTTTCTTTTTCTTTTTTGAATTTTCTTAAATTTTTGGGTTGGGCTGGGTATTTTGGGCCATTTGAGGTGGTTTGGGGGTGAGGCCGTGAGGACTGAGGGGGGGAGGGTTGGGGGTTAATTAGGAAAAGTCAAATATATATATATATATAAATTGAACCGAGGCTCGGCCCGGCCCGGCCCGACCCGAACCCGGGGGGGTACCCGGGCCGGGCCGGTTCCGGGCCGGTTCCGGGCCTCCCCCCTTTCATGAACCGAGGCCTGGCTGGGCCCGAGTCCACCCCTGGTCAGGAGGTTGAGATTTGAGAACTACGTATACGTAGTTACCTAGCAAATACTTCCTTTGTTCGGTTATAAGTGCAACATGCACTTGGGCACAGAGATTAAGAGATTGCGTAAGGGTATTCGACTTCACGGTTTTACCCTTCCAAATAGGAAAGTACCTGCCAGTCTGCCACACAAAGAAAGTGCTATAGTAACTAAAGTACGATACAATTATTAGAGATTTACAGCCAAGAAATAAAACAGCATGCTCGAGCATACTGCTCACTTTCAGAAGACCCCCTTTCTCGCCTAAACTCCGGTAAGACTCCGTCCTCCTCCCCCGGCGTGAAGCCAGCTCCGCACCCCCTTGTCCGCTTAAACCAGCAAGCACAGACGCCGCAGCAGTCGGCCGCCGCCTAGAGGCCACCATTATTGCCGTGCCTCTCAAGCTTGTGGAGGAGTAACCGGAGCAAAATCGGTTTTATGTCTACCCATGTCTTCCGTTTTGGCCATAATTAAAATAGAAATCAGAAAAAAGAAAAATAAATGAGGGAGATGATGGGAAAGAATTGGAGAATTGGTTGAGTGTGTGAATGAGAATAGCAGATGATACGGAGGAAAGAGCCAAGTCTGTAAATCAAAGAAGAATGGAATAATGAGTGAGTGGAGAAATTAAAGAAAAAGTAAAAAAACGGAACAAGAAGGGCGGTTTAATATGGTAGGGTATAAAAGTCAATTAACTTAGAATTTCTTTCCCAAAATAGAAAGGTTGCATTTAATTTGAAACTTTTGAAAATGGAAAGTGTTGCACTTATTAAAGAACGGAGGAAGTACTACATACGATTGTATGAACTACTGTATAAGGCGCAGGCACAAGAAAGAAAAAGAAAAATAAAAACTAATGAAAATGCAAAAAATATGTGAAATCAACCCATGACCTGCTATAGCCATATTCACCCGGTATCTTGACGGACTTGACCTATTTGATGCTTTTTCAATAGTAAGGGTATCTATGTGATGGTTTTTTTAGTAGAAGGGTTGGAGTGACTTGTTTGATATAATAGAAGGGTCTATATGACCCTTTCTTGATTCTATGATCGATTTTGATGACAATATTAATAATGTATTTATTTATATTAATTACGTTGCCTAATTATAGTAGGAATCTTAATGTATCTTGGACTCTTTATTATAAATAATACTTCCGGGGCTACCATTAAGGTATGCTTCCTCATTATTCTCACATGGTATCAAGAGCCCTAGGGTTTTAATTTTTTCCACGACATGTCGACCGATGCTTCTTCCTCGATCAGCATGGCAGCGCCTACCATGGCTGCGCCACCACCGGTGATTCCGTTTTTCACAGCACCCAGCCAGACGCAGAGCGAGATGGACACCGCTATATCCTCTGTCCAATCCATCATCAGCTCGCCGGCATCATCCAATCTTCCACCATTAACGTATGGAAGTTGGGTTCCACCGATTTTTTCCTGGTCTTCAACGACGCCGGCTATTCCTGTTCCGCCGCCGGTCACTTCACAAATCCATCCAGGTGGCCAGATTCCAGTTGCTGCTCAACCTGCCTTGTCTGAAACTCCTGGCGATGTGTTTGCCGGTTCCACGCTTCTCGGCTCACCAGGTACATCCATCATGCCACAAATCAGCCCGATTGGGACACGGACTCCGGTATTCTCCACCAATACTTCCTTGGCTACACTGTCTCAATCATTGGGTTTTTCTGCCATGAACATCACCAATATAGTTACCACAAAATTAAATGTTGTGGAAGATTATTTACCCTGGCGTACCCAGTTTGAATCCTTCTTGGTGTCTCATTCTCTTCTTGGTATTTTGGATGGTACGATTGAAACCCCTCCTATTCATATTATGAACATTCAAAACTGTCAAGTTATGAACCCTGAATATGGTCATTGGCTCAAATTGGATCAAACTGTACGGTCTTGGATTTTTGCTACTTTATCACGTGATGTTTTGGTCGAGGTTCATACAATTAAACATGCTCGTCTTATTTGGGATCGTCTCGAGTCTCGTTTTATGTCGGCTAGTTTAGCACGTTCCATGGAATTAAAAACCATGCTTACCACCTTGCGAAAGAAGGACTCTCAATCCATGGAACAATATCTCCGTGAAATACGGAATATAGCTGAAGCTCTAGCTGCCATTAATTCTCCGGTGCCCATGAAAGATTTACTTGAGCAAACTCTAATTGGTTTGGGTCCTGATTATCGTTCTGTGGTCACTCCACTTACTCTATTTTCCGAGGGCCTCACGTTTGATAACTTGTGCACTAAGCTTGTTCACCAAGAACAATGGCTCCTATTTCAACAACGTCAGGAACCACAAATGGGCTCCCCAGCGTTCGCTGCACCACATGCCGCAGCTCCACAGCCAGCTGCCGCGCCAAGGGCAGCAGCACCTCCACAATACGGCCAGAGGGGTCGGGGTGGACGTCGTGGACAGCGAGGCAGGGGAGGACGAGGTCGCGGCGGTAGGCAGTACGGTCAACCTCAGTTTGGCCAAGGGCAGTATGGCGGACCTCCACAGGGCTACGGTTTTTACCCTCAGGCAGCCTATGGACAGTATGGCGGACGACCTCCTACACCTCCAGGACAGTCAGGTACAGTTATAAGTAATTCTGTTGCGTCCCGGTATTATACTAGTTATGCTTTATCTACTTCTGCTACTAATCGTGCATCTGCAGGCCCTCCATCTTTTGAGAATAGCTTTGGTATTGTTCCTCCTCCAGTTGTTTGTCAGATTTGTCACTCCCCAGGTCATTCCGCTGTCACTTGTTCGTCCCGTTTTGTTCAAACCTCTACTCCTGCTTTAGCCGTGTCCACTGGTGAATCCACATCTGCCGTATGGTTTCCTGACTCCGGTGCATCTGCTCATATGACACCTCATGAAGGTATTTTGTCTCATAAATCCTCTTCCTCCGGGTCACTTTCTGTCACAGTTGCTAATGGGTCTAATTTACTGGTTACTACTGTTGGTAATGTGTCATTATCTACCTTATCTAGGCCTCTCCATTTAAAATCTGTTTATTATGTCCCTAAGATAAAATATAATTTACTCTCAATTCAAAAATTATGTGCCGACAATAACTGTGTTGTGATTTTTGATAAAAATTCCATTTTTGTTAAGGACAACCACACGGGGAAGGTTCTTCTTCAGGGTTCCAGTGATGGTGGCGTTTATCCTATTACCTTTTCTCAGCCTCTAGCACTCAGCTCTCATGTGGCACCTGGCCCGGTATGGCATCGTCGTTTGGGACATTGTGGAAGTCGTGTGTTAGATAGGCTCAAGAAAAATGGCTCTATTTTAAGTACATCTAGTTTCTCTCATGACTGTATTTCCTGCCGTTTAGGCAAATCACAACGATTACCTTTTCAGGAAGTTTTTCATAAATCTACCGTACCTTTATATTTAATTCATTCAGATGTGTGGCAATCTCCTGTTTTGTCTGAATCTGGTTTTAAATATTATGTTTTGTTTATTGATGACTATTCACGTTTTACTTGGTTATATCCCATGCGCCGTAAAGATGAAGTCATTCACCACTTTAAAAATTTCAAACTAATGGTGGAAAATTTACTTGATCATAAAATTAAAATTTTTCAAAGTGATGGAGGGGGTGAATTTGATAATTTTGGTATGCGGCATATTTTTCAACAAAATGGCATTTTGTTTAGGAAATCATGTCCTGACACACCTGAACAAAATGGGGTTTCTGAACGTAAACATCGTCATCTCTTAGAACTAGCCCGCACTATGCTTTTTGAAGCTAATTTACCGGCTAAATTCTGGGTTGACGCTGTTTACACTGCTACTTACGTTATTAATCGCCTCCCTTCTCCCACTTTAAATGGGTTTTCTCCCTTTGAAAAATTATTTCATCATCCACCTGACTTATCTTTTATGCGCGTATTTGGATGTGCCTGTTTTCCTAATTTTAATGCCACATCTGCCAATAAGTTGTCTCCTCGTTCGGTTTTGTGTGTTTTCTTAGGGTATGCACCTGAATATAAAGGTTATCGTTGTTTAGACCCTAAATCTGGCCAAATTTATATTAACCGGAATGTGCGGTTTCATGAGAATCATTTTCCATATTCTGAGCTTATCTCTTCTTCCCCAAGTTCCTTCGGTCCGACGCTTGCCGATTCTGTTACGTCATCCATGGCTACGGTCACTGCTGATTCTCTTCGGCCGGCTGCCATACAGTCTTCCTTACCGTCTCCTTCGTCCCTGGTGCCTCACACAGCCTCCTACACTCCTACTCCACAGACTGACCTGTCACTACCACACCCAAATACACCATCCACGCCTAATAGTCCTACACCGACCACTCAGACCAGTCCAATTACCGACCACTCA